ATGTTATGGGTCAATATAAGTTACAGTACTTAAACGATATTATTTTTTTATTAGCTAAGAACAAAAGTTTCGGGTTTACGAAAAAATGTTCAACAAAATGATTTAACATATTGGCTCAAATTAAATTAAGTCTTGACCCAACAATTAAATATTTTAATGAGAAAATAGTGTTAATTTGTAAATGAGGTTAATTTAATTAGTATTCACTATTATAGGTACCAGAATTATTAAAATATATTAAACCTAAATTTAATATAATTTTTTTAGTAAAAAACTAAAGAGGTTATAAAGATAACATGGATAAATAATAAAATGTACAATTATCAAAGGTAGTATGAAAAAATGAATATTAAACGATCACTGGTGTATAACTACTGGTTTATAATTTAATTATTTAAAACGTCTTAAGTCATAATATATTAATTTTTTTCAAGTAAAAAATTATGTATATGTAGCTATCTGAGCACGAAGTTTTCAGTTACTAATAAATAAATTAAAGATCCGTTAATTTATCCAACTAGCACTTTAATTTACCCAAATATCTTTAACTTATTTCATACAAATTCAAAAAAAATATTAACTATGAATATATTATATTTCTGGAATTTTCATGTAATTAAAACATTTTAATGTCTCATAATAGTCAACAGCATTATTAAGTCATTAATATACAAACAATATATAAGTATGGACCTCACAAAAGGTTTGTCATTATTAGAAACCAAAATTAAATAAACTATATGTACCTATAACCAAACACATATATTATTTATTATAATAATGTTCGTTTTAAATAGATATGTAAAGATCACCATATTATGCACTTACGAAATATATTTTATAATAAGTTTAATATTTAAGTTTCTCTTTAGTATTTTTGATACTTAATAAATTAAAAATATATTTTTAAATATGTTGCAAAAAATAATGCATTTATAATTTATAATCAAAACCGAATAATTTTGATCTGAACAAATAATATATAATAATTTGTTATATTAAATTATTCACGATATACTAATTATATAATAATACTACTATAGTTTATTAGGGTTAACAAATATACGTTTTTTAAGAATAAAAAAATCATATAAAAATAGATATTTTACTTGAGATTAAAATTGTTGTTATAACCAAAATATCAAGCCTTGATAGTAGAATTAAATTATTTGCATTGAATATTTGTAAAATTGTATAGATGCACTGCATTATATTATTAACATATTCTAGCGGTATTTTAATACAACAAACGAGTTTGGTAAAATGTTAATATCAATAGGAAGTGTTAATTAAGATTTGTGTTTCAATTAACGCTGTTAACCCTTGTCTCCCTTAATTCTATTACGTCAGATGTATAGAATTTCAAAAACGTTTTAACATGCGAACATATTATATGCAAACTATTTACCAATTCATTATCCGAAAGTTAATTATAATAAACATATTATACAGAATATATGGACTGATTGGCCACCTAATTTTGAGAACAACGGATGAGATGGAAGGAGGCGTGTATAGTTTATTGTGAAAATCAATGGGATCGATGGTTTGTTTGGAAGCGACTGGTGGACGGGCGGTGGCGGTGATGGTTGCATTTGGGAAAACCGTGTCCAGCAACGGCGGTGGAATTAATTGAGACCCATGTACGTCCCGGAGGCATCCTGGAGGCCGAATAATATTATTATACACGCGAACTATACTACCCGTTGGTATTATTCGACAGTACATTGGCCGCGGGCACAGTTATGGGCAAGGGGGGTTAGGTATTGTATATTATAGTCAGAGGGATGACAGCAGACTTGTTTTGCGGCGGTTGGCAAGAGATTCCCGCCTTTTGGCACAGGTCCCCCGGTTTTCGGGCCCGGACATTAATTAAAATATCCCCGGGTCCGGCATTTTAATCGCAGGGGACAATTCCCCCCTCTTCCTCTTTAACACTGTTTTCACCACGCCACAGAACTCTGTGTCCTCGGGATGATTTAATTACTATGGGTGTATGTGTGTGTGTGTGTGTATTTATCGGCCACACAAAGAGGAACGAGGTCCCGGCCGTCAGGATCAATTTACATTTTGGGATTTGCATATTCAAAGCCAACGATTTTGATTATCAAATTTGTTGCGCGCAATATACATATTATACACTATGTATATTCATCGCTTATATCTACCCAACCCGGAGACAAGTTTTTACAGTCCCTTTATAATCCGATTGTTGTACGAACGTCCTAAGGTATAAAGTCCGAAAAGAAAATAATTCATGACCACCGCTATCAAGTTGAAATGTTGATAACATTTGTTATCGTAAAACCAGATATTTTGAATTCATATATAAATCTATAAAAAGAAATCACTTATTTTATTCGAATAAAAAATACTCCGTTATCTTTGTCTCAATATTTAATCATTTTTTAAAATAATTTACGCCAGAATATTTTTAAAATATTTTGGTACATATGAATATTTGATCATAATATTTATATTTAAGATCTTACACAGAGCGACGAATGTGTTGAATTTGCAATGATGTGTGTTTTTTTTAATTTGTGTATCTACTATCTATGATTTCTTTTTGGGGCAGTAAATATGATTTTAAACTTTGAAAGAGGGGTCTAGTAACAAATTAGATATTTTGTAATTTAAGAGGTCAAAAGTAAAGAATTCAGATACGTTTCAAAATAAAAGGGAAAACAAAAAAGGAAAAACGTGAATCTTATTGCAAAATTGATTGTGATTATTTGATATAACTCAAAAATCTAATCGCATAGATACTAATTTTTTACAAAATGTCTATATTAGAATTTTCTATTCATGGTATAATTTTGAAAAATATTTTAATACTTTTTGATGTATTTTTACTTTTTTAATATTAGACATATTCGATTTGTTTTTTCTATAAATTTCAATAAAAAAATTTTGCTCGATTAAAGAGCTTGGAAATATAATACACAAGGTTTATAAAAATAGTTTATCATGTAAAAAACAGCTAAAATATAATATATAAATACAGTTTCTTTTAATAGATATTTTAAATTGAAATTTAGACGAAATTAGATTTAAATTAGATGTTTAAACAAAAAATAACGATTTTAGTAATTTAAAAATGTTATTCGTGGGTATCTATACTCGACATTTTTAACGTATATTATTTTATTTTATACACACAGTGAAATTTTCAACTGCAGTGTTTTTGGAAAAAATTAACTCAACCTACCGTATAACTAATTTTAAAATAAATTACTTCACCTAATAGGTAGAAATATAAATACATAAAGAAATATATTTAATAATACCTATAGGCTAACGACCGTCTTTCTCACAGGGTCATTTTTAGTATACAATGATTTATTATTATTGAATTTAAATTTAACACATACTTTACAGTGACTTACTCGATGGTGAGGTACACGAATACCTACTGTACAGCGAAGATAAATTGCATACTTTTTTAACTTACAACTAACGACTGAGTGACTGACGCTTTATATAAACAAAAATGTATTTTACGCTCGCCAGTTAAAAAATAAATATGTTTAATTTAAAATAGATCAAATTTCTATAAAAGAAATATAGAGAAAAAGATAGCCTATGAAAAATAGATCCCTGAATGACGAAATAATGTACAATATAGTATATTAGATCAAATATGATCCAATTAAATTGTAATCAATCAAATTTTGAAGACTATCATTTATCATAAAATATGAGAAGTAACGTTGGTAGGTTATTTACCTATAGTCTATACCTATAAGGATTTACAGTCTAAATTGTTACAAAAAATATAATATACAAAATGGTTTATTACTTAGTACCTATATCAAACTAATAAAATAATATAAAGGTCCCAAAATTAATTTGAAAGTTAACTTAAATAGTATATGTTATATATATGATAAAATGATGATCAAAAATTTTAAGACTAAAAAATGTTTTATATAAATATTCAAATACAATAGATATAATTCAGAATATAATCTAAATACGTATATGCATACTTATATATATAAAAACCGGCCAAGTGCGAGTCGGACTCGAAGGGTTCCGTACCATAATCTATAAACATGTTGGCAACACTGCTTATATTATATATTCTAGCATTTTTAGTATGTTTTGTTATAGATGCAACAGAAATACATAATCTGTGAAAATTTCAACTTTCTAAATTTCATATATTATGAGATAGAGCCTGGTGACAGACGGAGGGATGGACGGACAGCAGAGCCTTAGTAATAGGGTCCCGTTTTACCGTATACCTACGGCTACGGAACCCTAAAAAACCATTCGATGTTTAATCAAAGTAAGTTACACTGATTATGTTTCATTATTTGAATTAAAACTTATCACACACACATATAAACACATAATATGTATAAAATATAATATACATAATAGTATATTATTTACTATATAGTAAATTGAAACTTTAGAATCCATTATAATGATCATTGATCAGTCGCTATATCAAACTATAATAATTCCATTGTTCTTTTATAAATACAATCGTAAAAACAATAGAATTTCATGATAATGATCAAACGTTTATATAAAGATTAAATTGGCTAAATAAGCATCTTAATAGAAAATAAGTTGCTTGGTCGTTTCTGTAAACAGAATATATTGTACAATATATAATATAGTTATAAAAAAACATTCCCATATATAATCTAATTAGCAAATATAATTTTTTTTTTTTTTATTAAAATTAAAATATTATATACCTACCAAGCTTATTATCAGTGTTCAATATGTGATAAAAAAAAGTAATACATACTTATGATAATTATTTTCTGATATTCGATTTTTTTAATAGAAAATAATACACATAATTTAAAACCTATAGACAAGTTCATGTTCATTGTATAAATATAGATACAGTTTATAACGTATTGTATGTATTTTTAATTCAGATATGTTTAATTATAAAGTATATTGCTGAATCCCTTCGCCTTAATACTTAATTTCTGTATTTATTTCTTAGAATAATACACTTAGTTTATCATAAGTCATAACTCATAATAATAAAAAGAATAACTTACCTTGAACTTTGCAATTCGAGGATTTTCAGATGCCAGTTTTGCCAAAGCTTGATAGTCACATTTTGCTGATTTTACGACCCATTCTTTAGTCTTGGGATCTAACTGTTAGAAATTAATAATAGGTTATCATGAAAATATTATCACATGTATACTCTACACTTACCGATGTCATAGAAATAGTGTCTTCGTCGTCTTTATCGTTCTGTAAAAAAAGCAAACAATTATGTGTAATGAGAAATGACATAGACCAATATAATATTGAAACAGTGGAACTGTGGTTTGTGAACCCGAAAACATTGGTCAGCAATTAAAATAACTTGCGAGTTTTCTTAAGCCTATTGCGTATTTATGACCTCGATACAGTTTTCGACACATAGACATATATAAGTACACATTGTATATATTTGGCTATTTGCCCCATGTCCCCTGTATATATTTTAAACCCTCTTTTTTCTGGCTGCCAGTTATTAATTACTCTAATAGCCAGTAGGGAGAGAATTTCAAGACCTCTTTATGTTGTCACTCTATTAATCTTCGGAGGGCGCGACGACCGGGAGATTTATGGTTTATTCTCTATATTTTATACACGAGAAATAGTCGGTTTTCGTATAAATACGTAGAGCGCAATAGACACATTTTTATATTATATTTATAAACCGGCTCAATTATCTGAAATGAGTACTCTGGTAAATTTTGTGTTACATCATCCGAAATTAACATAAATAATAAATGCGTACCTATACGATGGATGTGTATTGTGTATATATAGGTACCTACTATTAAGTCTAAATAAAGAATAAAAAAACAACATAATAATACTCAAGTAGAATGCGCATATATATAGATACTAACATAAAAACATAGTGTGAACAAATTATAATCGGTGACGTGAAAAATTTCGTCATCATGACCCATGACAAATTTCTTATAGTCATCGAATGGCTGAAGTGGGTTGCAAAAACTAATGGACACGTGTACGATGCACGTGTATTTAGGGGAGAAAAATATTAAAAGCTAACGTCTTCGGGCGGCGTGCGGACACGCGGCAACAGCGTCGAAGCCGCCGGGCAACTTGTTGCCGCGGATCATTAGATTTTCGCATTGCACTCGAAACCGCACGGTAAGTGGCGGTTTTTCTTTCATATTTTTCCCCGGAGGCCATATCTCGTTAGAATCGTTATTATTATAAAATGTGAGTACGGATCAAAAGTTTAGAAAAAAATATAATAACAACAGTGAAGTAATGACTAATAATCATAAAAAAAAAAATGCAGTGATAGAACTAAAAAGGAAATTTTGTTATAGAATTATAAATAAGTAACTCGATCATATATATAATATGTTTAAAATAAAAATATTAATAAAAATGTATAAATGACTACATGATGGTACTATAAGATATATTTTTAGGCTAATTTATAAGATAAAAATTTGAAAAAACGTTGTACCTGCGATCTGCCTACTTATTAAAAAACTAAAAAAACAATACTGAGAATGTAAAATTTAAGAATTCGATATTTTATTTTTTTTATCTAGAAGTATTCACATATTACGTATTACATTTGTAAAATACATTATACTTCGACGACAAATATTACGTTATTAATGTATACCTTTTCAGATAATAGTTCAGAGTAAATACCCATAAAAATCTCTAACAAATAGTTGTTGTAACATTTAATTAGTTGATTAAGTTTATGATAATAAGTTATAATATAATAACATATTTTTTAATTATATCAAAACCAATATAACATCAATTTGACAACATAAAGTAAATTAAATATATATCTTGATCCATTTATATAGAATACAGTACTTAAAAATAAACATATATGTATAATATATTCATGTGTATAGTAAATAATAATTATAAAAAAAAAAGTGTAAAAAAGACAATTGACCTATACAATTTGTTTGAACTCGATGAGAATAAACAACTAAACAAGATGTGAGCAATCTTTTTTCCATTTAACTATCTCAATCTGTGATTAATTAAATTATTTGATATCGGAAATATAACAAAAACTAAACAAAAAGTTGCTTTAGGTATATGTTTTTGATTAAAATCGAATATATACTGTATAGGTACCTACATTATACAAACAAAATAATATCTTTTTTATAAACCTACTTAAGAAACGGGTTAGTACCTACACTTTTATTTTATAATATTATAATAAATTAAATTTACACACAACCACTGAATTGACTTACTACCGTGGTAACTTATCATAGTAATTCTATTTCTATTTTATAGTACTTAAAATGTCTGACCATTTATGGTTCAATATTCTAATCTTATAGTGTAAATGCATTTGTATAAATAACAGTTAATAACAAGCATTTAATAACAATTAGAATAATAAAAGCTAGTTCTATGGTCTAAGTAAAAGATTTATTAGTTAAAATGTAGATACAATTGTGAATTGTTTTAAATATTTCAAAAGTAAAAAAGAATAGTTTTGATACAAGTCATTAGTTTAAATTAAACAAATTGATGCCACTTCTTCAATTAAGTGTTAATATTTTGCTATAAAATAAATGTATCATGTCCTAAGGTGTATTAGTTTTTAATAAGTGCCAAAATAAGCTAAATAAGCTATTATAGGAAATTATAGTTTACAAATTTAAATATATTTTCTAAATCATGGTAAAACATAATTTTTTAAATTATAAGATATACATTAATTATTCAAACTACCTATGATAGTAGTTATGTGTTTATAGATGTTAATTTTAATTTCAAGAAGATAAATATTTTACCTACATGAAATTTACAGAAATAGCGTTCTTAAAAGTATTAAACACTGTTGGAGACGATAAATGTTTGGCTTCTATTATTTTAAATGGCTTCTTTATGTGCACAATGCACAAATTATCTAAATTTTATATCCGTCGCCAAATAATCCCCTCGTGCAATATTGACAGAATCAATATATCATAAGGTTTCACGCAGCCAATAAAACACGCACAATACTGGTAACACTATAACGAATTGATATTCCGCGTTTCAAAACACCTTGTAAGCAAAATCAGTAAAACTGAACTGTAATCCAATTGATAAATAAATTTAATATTGAAATAAGGTTTCGATTTGAATTTACCCCAACAAGATATTTACTAGGTATTGATTTTGTTTATTGTTGTACCAACATTGTTCAGGCCGTAATTTATTACGACATAGCACCTATAAATAGGAGAGGGGAAAGAGGTAATTTAAAATAAAATAATTGCTCGTGACTGTAAATCACGGACAATATAGTTGAAAAGCTGTTCAGCCGTCTGATGTCAAATGGTTTTAAGAATTACATAAATCTTGGCCGAAAACTACGGTTTGATAATTTATATGTAATGGCAAGATTATTTATTTTTAATTTAATAAAGAAAATTTGTCAAAAAATCTTATCTATCAAACCTTGTTTGTATTAAATTGAATAAAACATTTTGTTTTTTTGTAAATTTGCCAATTTTCTTTTAAAGTAGTTTGATAAAAAAACACAAAATATTTAAGATTTTTTTCAGTAGCATTTATATTATGTTGAACATTATAAAAAAAATATCTGATAAAGCAAAATATGTCCATGCCCTATGGATTAATCAAATTATTTAAAATTTTAAAGTAATGGATGTATATATATTTATTAAACTATACTCTATATCAATGACGATTGCAATAATAATCATAAACAAAGCAACATTGTATATACAATAGCACACACACACATACACACACCTATATACTAATCATAATATAATGTAGACAATTTGTTACCCAACTACCGCCCGAAGATGCACCTTAATGTTAGTTGTAACATAGATGTTCTCTAATTGCAGAGAAAATAAACAGAAGATAATAAGAAAGTTAATAAAACTAGACGATTATTAACATTGATGGAACAATTTTCAAACTATATTTTGTTCGCATTAATTTTTTTTCTTAACGACACGTGTTATTTTTACAACTTAAAAATTATTAATGTTCTTCATTGGACCGTGGGAATATTTAAAAACCTTATCTTCCCAACTTAAAATAAATGTCATAATAATGCCTTACTACTAATGGAAATTTTAAAAAATAAAAAATGTTTATTCAAATACAAACTTAATAGGTAATTTTAAATCTAACACACAACATTTATGTTGAAAACACTTTAGATACAGCTCAAATGAAACTTAGTTATTATGTAAACTAAAATTATCCATAGGATGAATAAAAAATAATATTTCTATGAATTTCAGTAACTCACCAAACTGCGTATTTTTGTTTGCGAATCATTAAAATACATTTTTTCATCATCGTATTTATTTTGAATTACATTCAATTCGGTTCTTTTGTGGCTTATCGAAAGCCACTTATTCAAAAAAACTAAACTCCACCACATATTTTATAAGTTGATTTAATTTTTTACTGATTATATATACATATATATATATTATATATATATACAGACAATAAAATTAACAATTTATTAAACACATCTTAGAACATACAATGAACTATAATATTATGTTAATTTCATTCAGAAATAGGACATACACTACGTATGAAATGATCTAACAAAACTATAAAAACAGAAACATATAATTATCAAAATAATGGTTTAAATATTAGATATTGGGTATCTTAATGTTTAACGTTTAAATATGACTAATCAATGTTATTCATATATCAACTACTTTAATAACAATACATTATTAAACGTTGTTTAACGTTGTTTGACATTTTGAGTACATATATATATATATATATATATATAATACACACAGACGTCATAAAATAAATAATATACTCAACTAGTCAACTCAATAAAAATAAATACTAAATTGTATTTGTAGGTAATACGTACCCATTGCCCACGTAAAATATAGAAACATAAATAAAATGTATGATAAATATATAAATAAATGTTGCGTTTAATTTCTCAGAAGTTAAGGATTCAGAAATTACGATATAAAATGAAATTGGTTAATAATTCGTTGTAACTTATAGGTAGTATAAAAGTATAAAATAGTTATAGTAAAATCAGTATGTTCTGTATGATTTCTAGATTAGTAATTAATGTTAGCAATAGATTGATTGATTTAACATTTAAATAGGCTCACATTAGATCAAACATTCAAACTACATTTCCCCAAATATGACGGGTAGAAAAAAATCCATTATCTGCAGGGACAGCTTTGGCAGCCAAAGAGCCACAGTTTCATTAAAAATAATAATAATTCAGTGTTCGTATGTTTTAATTTTTTTTTAAGTTTAATGTAACTTAATTGTTATTTATTGGTAGAAAGTAATTTATTAGCCAAAATTAATGCACGTTACTGTTGATTATGAAGAGAGTACCTATGTGTAGTTATATGCATATGTATTCAAAGCCAGTTATGTATATAACTCCGACATACAGAAAAAAATATACACACATATCCTCGGGAATACACGTTTTAATGATTACAATGGGTATTTTTCTGTAAAAAAAAATATATGCGTATATATAATGTGACAGTGGCGGTGGTGTGGAGCTCTATGCTAATGAATGTTACACTTTTCTCTACCCCCGCCGACCCAAATTTCAATCGAGTTCATTAAGTCCCGCGGTGTATTTAATTAATTAAAATTATCCGCTCTAGGTGGCCATGACGTGGACGATAAATAACAGTGGCTGTGGCCCTTGCCCAATAAATTATATAAACCGAATGTTGGGAGTGGACCTTGCCATAATGTGTCACCGGCCGGCAGCAGCGTCGACGGCAATGGCAGTGATGGCGTGCAGCAGTATATAATATTATGAATAACAACGGTATAGTCGTCGGTCATGTTAAACGGAAAATTTACTGGAAAGCTCATCGTCGTTCAATAATAATAATTATAATAATTTATAACAATAATAATAACGACCATGCAGCCGACTCTCTGTTTTGAATATCAAATTCGTATGCTATTAATTCGGAATAACGTACATATATTGTACGATGGCGGATAATATGATGGCAGAAAACGAAACAAGCGCTCAAGTGCGCAGACACCGGACGGAATGTCCTATATGCGACACAAACACTGTGGTGTTTACGCGCGGGTTAGAGTGGCAGCCGGTGGCAGCAACTTACCGGCGCGCATTGGGGTATGTTTTATACGGTTTGGCTTGGCTGATTTATAGCTCATCGTCCCACATGCCCCCACCCACCCAGCTGGCTCTCACTGATTTCATAATAAACTATATTATATATTGTATACATGTTTACGATTTTTTTTCTTCTTTTAACTAACCCGATGTGTATATAGAAAGGAAACCGTTTCATTTTTAATGAGAGCATTACGTGTATATACTTATACGGATGCAGTAATTTTTAGTCAACCATTATTGTGACAATGTTTTTGAGACTACACACACCGGGCGGATAACGCTCAGAAAAAGACGAATGATCAAGTAGAAATTTAAACCCTACGTGCATACCTCGATGGTTGGCAAATATCCAAAAGAAATATTAATTTGTCATATAGACCCGACACAATATTAAGACAAAAATATCTAAAATATATACATTATAAGGCACAAGCCTGTAATTAATATTGAGACCTCAGCTGAGTGTTTAAAAACAGTAATTTGTTTATGCTATTCCTCGTGCTATTCAAACCAAATAAAATTTGGATTTCTGATAAACAGAGTGAAGATACCTGTATGTTTAAATCATTTAACACCAAACCAATAAAAGGTTGAGTTTTTTTAAAAGTTATTCTAATATTCTTATACATAATACATCAATTAATTATTAGTAAGTTATAATCTCAAGCCTATATTATGGTTGATAGTAATAGTTTTTAAATCACAACCAAATAACCAAAATTTTTCCAAATTTCTTTTAAAAAAAATAGTTACAGACATTTATTTACAAGTTTTATAAATTTTTGGTAGTTTTTTGTTACAATTAGATTATTACTGAATCAGGTCTATCGTTTACATTATATAACAGCTACTAACTGTATTGGGTCAGGTGACTTCGCCGGGAAAAAAAAATAATAATAAACAGTTAATTAAATACAAAATGTATGTGACATAATTTAATACATAAAGTATAATAATTAATATATTTTAGGCAGTTAAAGGTTTTAATAATTTCAAATGATTAAAAAAAACATATAATTAAAAAACTTATCACAACTCGTTATTTCCTTCCCATATAAAAACATACATACTTCATACACACATGACACAGTACTTAATTCATTATTATGTTTCTATAAATATAATATGAGTTAAAGTCAATTAAGTAATCTTAGTAATTATTGTCCCAATTACAATTTCAACAAATAAAATGTATTCCATCTAAAGTTATAATAATATACATACTTCCAAAAACTTGTTTTATTTTATTGTATTATATAGTATATTCCTAACTAAGGGCCGTTCTTACAATGTCCTGTAAGTTCGGTTAACGCTAACCGACTGATAACAGATTTTATTACCGGCAGAATTCGGCCGGTTAAGTGTCGGTTAACTTTAACCGGACATTGTAAGAACATCTAACTATACAGAAACCAGAATCATTATTTATTAATAGTTAACAAAAGTGATTACTTTTCATAGATTTATTAATAAGGTGTCATCTATAAAATGTTGAGAAGTTCAATTTTACAAGCAATACATCTGACTTCAAGGATATTAGAAACTTAATACGGTTAAAGCTTTATATTCATGAAATAACTAAAGGAATATTACTTTATTTGCAAAATATTAAATTTATTATGTACCAACATAATTAGGTATATGTTAATTGTTATTTTAGTAAAATAAACATTTATTAGGACTAATATTATAAATTTAGATCAAAACCAAAATATATAATTTATAATAAATCTTTCTGTCTAAAACAATTATATACATATTATTGATTATAAATGTTATAATATTATTACTATAATATTTATAATCAATGCTATTATGTAAAAAAATAGCTTTAAATAAAGCTGCCTACCTACATGGCTACATGGCTACATGAATATCAATGACTGAATGACCAAAGACTAACTAGTAACTATAATTTATAACTCACATAATATTATCTATTCGCTATTATTATTCTTTCATAATATTTTTAGTCAATACCTATATTTTATTATAAATACCCATATATATATATTTTTTTAGGTATTATACAATTTAATTATTCCTTAAATGATGACATTATTTAATTCTGTTATCTAAAATAAAATAAAAAAATTCTAAATTGGTACGAATATACAATACTAATGCAATTTAATAATGTAAAAAATTTCAAATTTACCTGAATAAATAAAGAAAAAGCAATAAATTTAAATTGATAACATAAATTCTCTTCATACTACATAAACTAACTTAGTAAATATGACTAATATAGAACATAATCAAGCAAATTAATTAGTATAAATTACCTTATCTATTTTCTTCTTATTTGGCGATGGTAGTTGACTAGCTAAGTGTAAGGCATTTTCAGATGCTATCCGGTTAAATTTTTGAGTTCTGTCTTTTACACTTATCTGAGGCTGTTGTGGTTGATCATTTTCTTTCTATACATTACATACACGCAAAAGCAAAACACAAAATAATAATGAATTAAGCTAAACACATAAACATAAAAAAGATAAGCAAAATAATCCGGCTGTGCTACTTTTAACCATTTGAAAACAAATCCATAAAAAGAGATAACCAAAAAGAAAATATAAACATTGTTTACTTACATAATTATCCTTAGAATTTACTATAACATTGTCACTTAATTCAATCAATTTAATTTTTTCAGAACTTCTACGCCTAGGAGGAACAGGCGGTGCAGCTTCTTTAGTTGGTGAGCATTCTTTAGGCGATGCAATAGGAGAAGGTGGTGGACGATAAGGAGGGGGTTGTCTAAGGAATGAAATTTAATACAAATTAAACATTTAATGAATCGTTTATAAAACTTTGATTAATTATTTGTCGTTCATACCTAGCTGATGGCGATACCATTGGTGATCTTTGTTGGAATCTTGGAGGGTCAATAAGAGAATCTTGAGATAATGAATGATGTACAGAAGATAAACCAGGATAAGAGGTTAGAGAATTTAGAGAAGAGGCTGTGCTCATGGAGGGTTCTAATGATAAACCAATACAACCAGCTACTCGAAAGCGACGTTTAAGCATTAAATACTTTTCTCCCTAAAAATTATAAATAGTTGTCTTAATAGTTATAACTTTACAAGAATGACTAAATTGTTGTATTACATCTTCTCCACAAATAACGGTAGCCACAGTATTAACAATTTCTTTAAACTGATGTCTTGCTTCAGCTAGAAAACAACAATATTTTTACTAACTATAATATTATTATAATAATTAAAACAGTAAGGATTTACCTCTATTTTGTGGATTTGTCAGAAAATATTTAAAGTGAGTCACTAGGTCATGATTAGTAACTCTACCATCGTTCATAATCATGAAATCACGGACGGATTCCAAACTTAACTCATTCGGAACAGCCATAATCCCAATATAATTTTACTAATAATATAAGAATCTAAAAGTGAATGTAAATGTATGAAAAATTATGTGAAAATTACAAAGTAAATTGCCAAAACACAAGTCATATAGTCATATAGAAGTTTAACACAAATTTCAACGCAGGTAACTACTCAAATTATTTAAATTCAAAACAATAAAATTAAATAATAAATACTGATAACAAAAAAAAGACAAGAACCCGTTATCAATTTATTGTGATATGACGGAATCAGCAGACTACAATATGAACACCGGAACGTCCGTAACGTACGTCATGGTTCGTACATCGATTTCAGGGGTTCTCATTATCTCATTTTATACAAAGTAATATAAAAATTATTATTGAAGATTTTTTTATTATATTAAAATTTAATAATGTAATACCTACTGATTACCTAGTATACCTACTAAATTGAATGCTATTTTTTTTTTTAATTTATGGAAAACTAGTTAAACAATTAACGCATTAATAATGGATTTGTATACAATATTATACCCGATTAATGAATAGGAAAATGTATAGAGTAATAATAATAGGCAGGTAAGTAACTTAATATTTTATACAAAAACCCAGTGACTATTCACAACTTACCTGATCCCTTAAAGGGCTGCGAATTCCATTTGAAAAAAAATATTGATGGTTTGATCTTTTCAAATAATTTCAGTTTCTCCTACATTAATTTCCATGATATAGGTACCTAAAAGCCGGATTCACAGCTGAGTCGTGTGTCGTGTAGTGTCGATCAAATCGTATTGTGATTGGATATTACTTTTTTGGTATCATGTAATAACCAAGTTGCAACCGAGTATACCAAGAATTAACCACTGCTTAACTTTTAAAACATATTGGTTACCAGCCGTAACCATACAATAACCATGGAACATTCTATTCAATAACCAAGCCCTCGCACGACACGATACACGACGTACCTAGCTGTGAATGCGCTAGATATATCTATAGATAATCCATGTCTCCACACAGTACAGTACGTGCCTACGTATCAAATACCAGCTATACCTATCTAAAATTTAAAAATATTTTATAATAGAATAAATTTATCAGAAAATAGGTAGGTACTGAAAATAACAAAATAATAGTTTGAAGTGTCCGACGATTCAAACCTTGTCATACAAAACTATGACAAGAAATAACAATGAACAAAATGCTTTTCCTAAAATTCTACAACCACATCTCTTCTATAACTTTTAAGGTAAAGTTAAATTATATTGAGTTTTATATTAAATAACAAAATACCTAGTTCTTATATTATTCAAAACAATTAATTGTGTTCAGTAGCGGTTCTATAGTATGGACAGCTTCCCATACCAAAATTTTCTGGTTCTCCTTATTGGGAAAGGGGGAGGAAATGATTAATATTATTCGGATTTAAAACCTAATTATAAATCTACTGTTGCCCATACAAAAATGTAGTCCTAGAGGCTAGAACCACTCCTGATTGTGTTAAGCTACAATCAATAATATATACTGTCGTCTGTCCATGATGTTCCTAAATATATAATTATATTATAATAATAAATTTAAAAATCCCTATAGGTAAGTATAATATTAATAATTCGGCATAGTTTTATGATTTATATATTATAAAGTATGAGTTTATATTATTATATTTCAATATTTGACTATTTTATATTAGGTATGTGATTAATAATTATTATTATTAAAATAGCCTAACAATAGGTTCAGGTTTAGTTAGGTATTATAATGCCTTATATAATAATATATTGACACCTTTACTCACTAGTATACTCTGTAGGTATACTGTACTGCTAATCCTCTTCCCTGTAGGATACCATAATTTACTAATTTATACTTAAAGTATACAAGCTATTCTTTAGACTTGATTGTTCATCATATACGATTTTTTACAATTTTAGATTTATATAACATGAACAATAGTCGACTGTATACAATATACATAGGTCCTAGTGTTCTACCACTTATAGGTAGGTACCTATATATTCATATAGGAACCTACTTACCTACAGCATGCTTAAGTCCTCTTTAGGTATTAGGCTGAAGCCTGAAGGAGCAGCCAAGTCATATTATATTATTAAGAAGTAGGAACATCGCACATAATATACTATATACCTGGTTTAATATACAGAGTGATTAATTTAAGTGCTTATGATTTTTAAAAGTTTCATCTTGTTTGGAAATATTTTTTTTTACATAATTTAAGGTGTCAGATGCTAATTATTCAAATTTTCCCCAGTTCTATAAAATTTTTAATTTATATTTTATATTTTAGCCACCCTAGCTAATTATAATACTTTTCCACTAATCTACTGCCCGATACCTATTTAGGAAGGTTGATAAGTTGTATTATATCGAAAAAAATAACTTCACAGGATTAATTATCGGGCCTTGTAAAATTGTTAGATTTGCATAAATCATTTTTTATTTAATAGAAGAAGACTTTCTACACACCTCATTGAACTTTGATTTTTATTTTATTTCAAATAATGGTATAATATATTTTGTAAAAAAAATCTTAAAGTTGTATTATTTTTGAAGACAAATTATCAAGTTTGAGATTAAAATGTTGAAAAACGGAATTCAATGTAACTTGTAAAATATTAGCACTTATTAGTTTTAAAAAAAATTGTTAAATTTGATTGACTCTATTGCAGTGTTGGGTAGTAACGTAACGAAAGTAACGCGTTACTGTAACGGCGTTACTTTACTTGTAATGCGTTACGTAATTTCATTAGAATTATTTCCAAGTAACAAAAATTTAATGTAAATTACTTTTGAATAAGGCGTCACAGTTTCAAATTATTAAGTACCTACTTACCTATTGCGAATTGAAAAAAAAATATATGTATATTGCGGGTATTATTATGTTTACCAATCTAATATGTATAATGTATATATATTTAATTTTACCTCTCCACAATTCAGTTTTCAATGGTTTTGACATTTGAAATGTCTAATTGGACCGTATTTATCACGAAAACAGTTAATTAAATTTATTATTTAATTTGATTTCCTTTAAATAGGTTTCCTATGAATTTCTTGTATGGAAGACTAAGTTTTATACGATCCTATCAACTATACAGGTTATATAAAGAATTTTGCTTGTTCAATTTGCCTGCAGAAGATAAATGCCAAGAAATTTAAAATTTTTTTTGTTTGCAAAGAGAAAGTAATGAGTTACTTTCCTACTCGAAAAGTAAAGTAATTTCATTCCATTTTTATTTGAGTAACGAATAAAGTAACTTACCCAAGTACCCAACACTGCTCTATTGACGGTGTTTGGCATCATACGATCTCTTATATAAACTAAAATCCTTCCTACCTACATGCTGCTTCCTACTTTTCAAATCTTATCCCACTTTATTCCCACTGATTGCTCTTTTAAAATTTGCTATGGAACTGCCACGTCTAAAAGAGAGAGTATAAATGCTGGAGTTCCTCAAGGTGGTATTTTATCTCCTTTACTATACAATATCTTTCTACACTTCAGTCGCGAACTATGCGGATGATAAAGTGATTAACAATGACAAATCCTTAGCCTCCTTATATTATTTGCAAACCCATCTGGATTTACGGATTGCAACTATGGGGAAATTCTAAAACGTCTAATCTGAATAAGATACAAGCTTTCCAAAATATGACCTTAAGGAAATTAGTTAATGTCCCTCCATACATATCAAACCATACCCTACATACAGATTGTAACTTAAAAACTATTCATGACGAAGCTAAACGTTTTTATAAAAATTGTCATAACTATCTATCTTCCCACTCAAATCCTCTCATCAAGAACTTATCATCCCTCACAATCCCAGGTATACTTTAAATATTAAAACTAATATAATTAAATCACACAAGATTTAAACCAAGTCGAAAGTGTCAACAGTGGGTGGCTTCTTTCCAAAAATTATTAATTCATGTTATTTGTTACTTCTTATCGCGCATATACTTATTATGTCTAGGTATAGATTGTATAGATTATTCTAAAAAAAAAAATTTGCTTGATTCTGCAGAACAGAACATTATTCCCGTAGAGCGTATTTTTGTGGACATAATTAAGTTGGCATAATAATTACTATCGTAATATATTTTTTATATTTTTGTTTTTTTTTTTATGATACCATACATTTTTAATTTCATATTCCGAAGCAGAATGTTATTCTGAGTATTTTAACTTATGAAGATCAAATTTCGGACAAATAGTTCATTATAGTTATAATCATTTTAAGTTTCGATTGATCGGAGTAGAATGGTACAAGAGTAACTCTCAAAATTTTGTCCACTAATCTACAACATTATAAGTTATAACTATTAACTAATGAACAAATTTACTGTCCGAATTTTGGTTTTAATAGATTAAAATACTCCGAATCATATTCTGCATCGGAATATGAAATTAAAAATGTATGCTTTCGTTCACGATATTTAAATACTTGGTATTCAAAATGTATGTAAGGCAGGATCGTGGGGGCCTTGCCCCCACGGGTCTTTGTTGAGTAATTAAACACTTAGAACGCAGTTTTTAAATCGTTGGATTGAGCTCCTCTACTAAATTTTTTCCAATGCGAAGACTGCTTATATCCATTTTTTTTAAATTTTTAAATGGATCCAAGTTTCACGTTTTCGGGACCTATTTTTGTGCGATTGGGAGTGTGTACACTTACTATTTTTTTTATACCAGTAACTGTTTATGCTTTATGGACTAAAATTGAATCAATAATTTAGAAAATAATCAATGATGTAGTCTTATTACTTTAATTAAAATATAATATATTTACCTATCCCAAAAAAATATTTGCTATTATGTTTGTTTTGCGAAAAAAATCTGTTTAAAAATCTTATAAATAAAAAAAAAAACGTTGAAATGAACATAATATAATGTCTGATAAAAACGTTTTTTAAAATAAATTCAAATATGGTATGTGTACTTCGGAATTTATTTTTTTTAATTATGTTATATATTAGGAAAAATATTTTTTATATT